ATCGTATTCTACGTAAAATTCTCTATAAAATTGATATATCACATGTTGACATTTTATATAAAATATTTCCCGATAAAAGTGGTCACTCCAGCCGAACCCGAGGTCACAGGACAATATAAATTACATATTCTGACTCAGCATTGAATGGACTTTCATATCCAATTAAAAAATCCCGAGTGCCAGCTTAGCCATTTCTGTATTTTATTATGACAGTGTTCTTAGAAATCTTACTGATACGATGGGACACCCGATAGTTACTGTATTTAAATATTGTTTAAATTATTTACATTAATTTATTTTGTAAATACATCAAATAACATTTGCTTACGAGTTAGTTACTGTTAGTGTATTTTCAATATACTGTATGAATATTGTTAATAATTTATATTTATTAAAAAAATAATAAACCACGTTTATAAACTTCTAGTAAAAGTGTTTGTAATGAATAATATCTATGAAAAATATCTCATTAAATAAATGTTATTCTAGATTATTTTGATTTCCATATTATGTTTGTTAATATCTTATAATGACATATCTGTACTTGCAGAATTATACAATATTACATATAATTCATATAGTCCTTAGAAATTAACATACAATCTATCGTATATATTTCATTACATTTATAAAAAGCAATTCACTAGCAAATATCAAAACTGCAACACAATATAAAACCACAATTTTTCGCATAAGTATTTGAATGTCATTTAATGATAACTTCGAGGATTCGTTTGAAAGCATATTTGTATTGTATACATTGGATTTAATGTCTATGTTAAATGATTTTATGTAGAGCATCCATGTCCAATGATCCATTAAACCAGATTTTATTATATCCATTATGCTATATGAAAATCAATTGTTATAAGATATCTAACTTTAATAATATGATAATTTTCAAACTTTTACTTACAATTCATTTAAATATTGAGTATATTTTGATTGCTTGCGAAGTGCGATAGAAATTAGTTGTATTTCAAACGAGGTATCTATTGAATGATCAGGGACAGTGTGTGTACGAATATGATTTAAATGCGTGAAGTATTGTAAACCATTTCTATTGGCTATCACTGAATAAATAGTATCAGTGTCATTCAATCTCATAATCGCGGCGTTCAGGAAATCGTGTTTTAAAAATTTTCCAATTCTTGTGTAATATACAGATGTTTTGTCCTGTTTTACAAATGATATTAATATTCAGTATATTAATTTTAATTATGAAAGAGATTAGACTTACTTTAAACAATGTTTGAAAACTAGATATATTTGTTGATAGGGTTTGTAAATACCCGGACTCCTGTGCATTAGCCAAGTCTTCAATTGTCTGAATCTTTTGCCCGCTATTGGAGGCTATGATTGAATAAACACATCCCGCATAACATGTACTCAATATAAAACAAACAAATTGCAAACTCAATAATAGCATTTGGATAACTTTATGGCAATTGCTTATTTGAACGCTTTGTCCAAAATATATGCAAATAATACTCCAAATACTGTCCACTGAAGACAACCGACAACTTATCCTTAGTAGTGTTGATGTGATTGCAATCATTACTAAACTACAAATCCAGACATTGGTATCAAATGGTTTGAAAAGACTAGTGAAATCATCCAATTTAGGTGGGGGTGACGTGAATGTAATGTCGTCTATGATGTGAGGGTATGTCAGGTCCACCGCTTCTCGTCTGTCGATAGTTTGAGATATCTCTCCAATTCCCATATCAGCCAACTGTCCACATGTCATATAAATCATATAATACAGTATAATAGACATACAATAGATAAAATATACATTGATAATTTAAAAAATAATAATAAACAAAGAATGAATGCTACTAATATACTTACATTAGATTGTATTAGACTAATAATGCTACCGTTAGGAAATAAGCCATTTTTTAGCCTATTACCCCAGGATCCTTTTGAATCAATAATGTGATAGGTGAAATTCCATTTGGATGCCAATGTATTCAATAATTGTGCCTCTATTCCATTTATTATTTGTTTGTCATTACTACCTGGTTTATCTCCCAAAAATATTAGTGGACGTGCCTTTGTGTGACATAATCAAATTATTTTTTAAAAAATTAATTAATTTTTTAAAAATTAATATTACAAATGTTGTTGCGACGATCAAATTTTCCCCGTTAAAGTTTAACATTGCTACTGAGCTATGGGTAATACTGTACTAACATTTACTGTTATACAATATATTTTATAGTTTAATATTTTAGTTTCATTTATTCTCTAGAGAATTATTTCAAATAAAATTATTTAATAATAAAGTTATGCTATTTATAACTTACAAATGACAATCGTGGACAATTGTAAATTTATGAATTCTAAATACTTTTCATAAATTTAGTGAAAAATAATATTTGTAATTATTTCCATAAAAGATCATTAACAAAAAATAAATTTTAATTTATTATTTAAATTATAATGTAAATAAAAGTTGAAAC